AAGAACGGCGTGAATATCAAACGCACGCAACGATTATAAAACAAAAAAATTAACACCTTTCAACCCGCCGTGGAAATGCCAAATAGGTATTTGCGCGTACGATTCCGCTATCTAGCAAATAATCAAATTTCATTGTTGAGCGGTAATATCTCGTTATGCTTGTATAAAACTACACGTTATACCGGTGTTTTAAATACGTTTTTTTTTTTGGGGGGGGGGGGGGCTAAAAAACACATGCACCAACGTGAACATTTCAGCGGCAGCCATTTCCAAAATAACTTTTTTCCCTAGGCCCCCCCCCCTCGCCCACCTTGTCCTTACACACACAGGTACTTTAAGACAAATACATTCCGAAAATAATAGTTACGGAACACCACCGAGTACACGCTGAAGCGATCAACAGTCCCCGGGTTACATTAGGGCGGCACGCGCGCGCACAAACAAACACCACGAATCGTGCTTGCGCGAACAGACACGTGGACAAAAAAAACCTTTTGATTTAAAGCTTTCGTGACTGCAGTAATTCATATTCTTAGTTTTTTCAGTAAAGTCACGTTGAAGAGAAACAACAAAATAATAAAATATATATAAAACAATAAAAAATTATCACGACGTTTCGACCATAGCTCAAACGGTCATCTTCAGGTGTGTTGGTTTGCATAAATGTATTTTTAAACGGCGCATTTATTTATTTATAAAAAAAGAAAAAAACGTTAGCGCCACGCGCAGCGATTTGGCAGTTTACCCAGGACTAGTCCATCTATATTCTGAAAAGAGGAGGGGGGAGACGAAATTTTTTATAATGTATGCTGTCTGAAAGCCACTGTAAGCGTGAACAATCAATTAAGAACTGAAATGGTTTATCAAATCTTTCCAATGATTGCTAAGATAGAATCCATCTTCTCGGTTGAAATTGTCTCTGTGCTTGTATATGTGGATAGCCTCATGAACGAATCTCTCATGGAAGCCAGATGGCTTACAAAGAACCTCTGTCTTGGAAAAGTCAATGGCATGAATTAGAACAATGATCTGCTACGGCCGAGGTGTTGGTCCTACCGTGTTTAAGGTCTGCTTTGTGTCACGAATGCGGTCCGAGACATGGCGTTTGGTTTCTCCAATGTAACTACTACCACAGAGGCAACTTAGTTTGTAGACACCAGGGTATTGTATGTCCGGAATCACATCTTTTACAGACGGAACCAGATCACGGATTTTATGTAATGTGTTGAAACGGACCTGGATCTTGTGTTATTCAAGATTTTGGAGATCTTTTTTGTGATCCCAGCAATGTAGGGTAAAGTGATGGTTTTGAAAGGCTCCTCAAGAGGGTTCTTCTTCATGGTTTGAGTGATAGCTTTGCGGATTGTATAGTCGGAGTAACCATTAGCCCTAAGAGCTTGGTGTACGTGCTTGAGTTCACTGCTTATCCGACCAGGAACACATAAGCAGTGAACTCAAGCACGTACACCAAGCTCTTAGGGCTAATGGTTACTCCGACTATACAATCCGCAAAGCTATCACTCAAACCATGAAGAAGAACCCTCTTGAGGAGCCTTTCAAAACCATCACTTTACCCTACATTGCTGGGATCACAAAAAAGATCTCCAAAATCTTGAATAAACACAAGATCCAGGTCCGTTTCAACACATTACATAAAATCCGTGATCTGGTTCCGTCTGTAAAAGATGTGATTCCGGACATACAATACCCTGGTGTCTACAAACTAAGTTGCCTCTGTGGTAGTAGTTACATTGGAGAACCCAAACGCCATGTCTCGGACCGCATTCGTGAACACAAAGCAGACCTTAAACACGGTAGGACCAACACCTCGGCCGTAGCAGATCATTGTTCTAATTCAGTAGGCTCACATGCCATTGACTTTTCCAAGACAGAGGTTCTTTGTAAGCCATCTGGCTTCCATGAGAGATTCGTTCATGAGGCTATCCACATATACAAGCACAGAGACAATTTCAACCGAGAAGATGGATTCTATCTTAGCAATCATTGGAAAGATTTGATAAACCATTTCAGTTCTTAATTGATTGTTCACGCTTACAGTGGCTTTCAGACAGCATACATTATAAAAAAATTTCGTCTCCCCCCTCCTCTTTTCAGAATATAGATGGACTAGTCCTGGGTAAGCTGCCAAATCGCTGCGCGTGGCGCTAACGTTTTTTTTTATAAATAAATAAATGCGCCGTTTAAAAATACATTTATGCAAACCAACACACCTGAAGATGACCGTTTGAGTTATGGTCGAAACGTCGTGAGAATTTTTTATTGTTTTATATATATTTATTATTTTGTTGTTTCTCTTCAACGTGACTTTACCGAAAAAACTAAGAATATAAAAAAAAACCTGTTCATCGTGTGACCGCCACTCTCCGACCGCTCAACAATAACGCAAATTAACTCGAGCTCACACTGCTGCGTGCGAACCGTTGTTATTTTTAGGCAAGTCTGTGCGGGAACTGGGGTGCGCGTCGCTTTACATTTTAATTCTCCTCGCATCTCACGACGATGACGACCTTCGGACATTAAAAATAACCCCCCCCCCACCCACTGTGAACGCTCTGCAAGGCTTCGCACCAAAGTCGGTTCAATATCTGGCACCCGGCGATCGAATTCAAGCGAAGTGTACGGTGATCGGTTGAGAGTCGGGTGGTTCTCAACATTTTTTGGGCTAACCGCGTCAGCCCCCCTTAGTTCAAGCTCATTACGACCGAGTCACCCCCTTCGTCTGACCCAACAAAGGTTCTGAGAAATTAAAGTGTGAACGACGAACGTGAACCCAGTTTAGGATTCGTGAGGAATCCTAAACTGGCTCGTAACTGCGAGAAAATATAAAAACAAATGTCAACGGAAGCGTGATGTATTCGCTGGCTGCTCGTGGGAAACCCACGTTGTTTGCGATCATTCCAAGACAGAGGTTCTTTGTAAGCCATCTGGCTACCATGGGAGATTCGTTCATGAGGCTATCCACATATACAAGCACAGAGACAATTTCAACCGAGAAGATGGATTCTGGCTTAGCAATCATTGGAAGGATTTGATAAACCATTTCAGGTCTTAATTGATTGTTCACGCTTACAGTGGCTTTCAGACAGCATACATTAAATTTTTCGTCTCCTCCCTCCTCTTCTCAGAACATAGATGGACTAGTCCTTCTAAATAAACTGTCAAATCGCTGCGTGTGGCGCTGACGTTTTTATAAATAAATACATCGTTTAAAAATAAATAAATTTATGCAAACCGACACACCTGATGATGACCGTTTGAGTTATGGTCGAAACGTCGTGAGAATTTTTATTGTTTTATATATATTTTATTGTTTTGTTTCCCTTCAACGTGACTTTACCGAAAGAACTAAGAATATGAATTACTGCAGTCACGAAAGCTTTAAATCAAAGTCTTTTATATCGTTTCGAAAGGTCTTTAATATCCTTCTAGGTTTACCATATTGGATTTAAAATGTATCGTAGTTACTTTATATTGGCATGTCAGAACATAAAAAAATGAAAAGGGACGGAATATCCCGAGTGTCACAAAAGATTTGTGGGGGGGGGGGGGGGGGGGGGGAACACACCACCACCGGCCAGGACACGGCCATTATGAAACAACCCACCACCAACACCGCCAACACCACCAGCGGGACTGTCGCGGCTAAGACTTCATCGGAAGAACCATAGAGTAACGTTGGTGGCTCCAAGTACTCGGGCATATAATAGATCCACGAGGCTTGAAATACCAGACATTTCGTGATTCGGGACCACAACCGGATTGAGGTAACCTACTTATATGGGTCTTTTGTTCATCATTTTCCCTAACCTGTGGCGAACGGCAGCACTTCTTTGGCTGCAGGGGTGTCCGCGAGCCAATTGCAGACAACAAAGCTTGTTGAAGCTTAAATTTGATTTAAAGCTTTCGTGACTGCAGTAATTCATATTCTTAGCTCTTTCGGTAAAGTCACGTTGAAGGGAAACAAAATAATAAAATATATAAACAATTTTTATTGGTTTATATATTTTATTATTGTTTTATATATATTTTATTATTTTGTTTCCCTTCAACGTGACTTTACCGAAAGAGCTAAGAATATTTGTTGAAGCTTTGTTGTAGTACGGAGTTAGACTGATGGCTTTAATCGAAGTTATCTTGGGGTTGTTGTTGTTGTTTGACTTGCATCCCACTGGTATTTTTGCACACAGCATTGATAGACAGTGCTTTTTCTGGAAGATTTTGCTGTTTTTTCCCTGGATTTTTCTGTTTGCGCGTTAGTCACTTCAAGATGTTTTCTTGTCTATGTTTTTTGTTTGTTGCGGTTGCACCCGATTCAAGAGCCGAACGGCTCACAGGGCTAAACCAAATAATTGAACAAAAAAAACTGAGGCGCACGAATCGGGAGAAAAATTTGACGCCGTACCCGTAGCAGAGTTGTCAAATGTCGCGAGACTATTACTGGCCAGCAACGCCAGCGGTGGATGGAGCTGCTGAAGCGATCATGAACCGGCCGCGCGCGTTCACCACGTGCCAAATTTATTAATCGGCTGTGTCGGGTGGATGAGGGGTATCCGACACGACGTTATTTATGCGACCTGACCGGAAAAATTAATTACGGAATGAAAGTAGCCGATTCTCAAACGCACACCCATAGGCTTCATTTATCGCAAGCGTTGATGAACTATCACTGACGAAGGTGCTGAGGTTTATTTTAAATCTATTAAGCGGTGGATCGTTATTACCCTGCACCAGCTGAGTGATCATTAGCCAGGGCGGTGGTGCGAGTTAAGATCAATCAACTCACAATCTCAAGTTTCCAAGTTCAACTCCGGGTCACGGGTGGACTCGGCTAATCATCCCCGCAAGGTCTTTAAAACAAGCGCCACGTTGAGGAAAGTCGAACACTCGTCCGACAGGAATGTCAGAATCACAATCTTTTTTTTTGCCATCAGAATCTTTATTAGACTCGAGGAATCCGATGAACCTATGAAGCTCTTTCATCACAGATGTCCAGTAGGTTCCCAGATTAATTTCTGCCCACCGACACAGCATCGGCAGGGCGATTAGCAAGGGGATGTAAAGTAATAGTGTCGTTATTATGGGAGGAAAACCGTGGGCGTTTGGAGAAAATCGAATCCAACGAAGTTATAACACACACCGACAATCCCACACACAGGAAGAGCAGCACACCACCTGCTCAATTACTCAACAGAGTCTCAAGACTTCTCTTTTCCAGGAGGGTCCTGCCTTGGGAACGCGGGCGAAAAATAATGTGCGCTTAATTAATGGCATTGGCCAAACATCTCATTGTAGCAGCGCCCGCCTGACGCTCAACAATAATATCGTTATTATTAAGCACGGAATAAAATGCCGAGTTAATTGGCGTTGGCATGTGGTTAGCACTGTGTTTAGCAAACTGGACTTGCAATGCAGAGGTCGCTGGCTAGAACTCCCGGGGCAAGGCAACTGCGAAAAAAAAGGTAAGTTTGTAAGTTTTTAAATCCCCCCCCTCCTCCTCCTCCTCCTACACATGTGTCAAACCGAGCAGCATCGAGGGGTACACGTTGCAGCTCAGTGGACGACCGGCAGGTCGCGTGCAGTGGGGTAAAAGTGTGGGTGAACTCCCGCCTCTTCCGAGTCGTCTGGCCAGTGTGACGGAGGAGGATTTAACTCCCTCCCTGGTGGGGGGCCCCTCTCTCGATCGACCTCCAGTGGAGGCTATTTTTTTCACACTCACTTCTTTAGAACGGACTTTTTGTGTTTCAGCTTGCTGTCCCCCTTCCTGCGCACCTCCGATTAGCGCGGTGGTCCACGCACGGTCCGAGAGAAGTTCCACATACATACATACATAGGTACATACACCAGCAGTGTTGACAGCAAGACATTGCAGGGCTGCCCCTTCACCTTATGGCTAAGACTAAAGCTATGGCTACTGGTTAGTTTAAGTGCGAGGCTTGCAGAGAATTAATGCTCAGGCTAGGGTTAGGGCTCGAGGTATAGGCTGGCGAGGCTTTAGTCTTCAGGCTAAGTGCTAGGGATTAGGGCCAGTGTGAAAGTGAGTCCTCAGTGCCTCTTAAAGGACGCAACCTAAAAATAATTATTTTTGTCTTCGAGATGATTCAGGATTCTTTCACAGGACTGCGAGTGATATCGGTGGATTTTGAGAGGCCTTAAATCCAGCATAGGGTCCAAAATAGCTGATGATGATTTCAGCCTTAAATCCAGGATAGGGCAATAGTTTAAGCTTGCGTTAATGAATTACAAAAACGAACTTTTTAATTGACGGTTATTACGTTGTACAGCGCACTGCGCTACAAACCCAGCTACCCCCCTTTTGGTTCAGATTCCCAGCCACGGGTGACATGGGGGCGTGTGACTCCTCACGTGGTCCTGGGTGCCGCCCCGTTCACCAACTCACGCTCACCGGTTGCGGTGAAGTATGGCCAAACAGCACCCAGTGACTGGCACGGAGAGGCCTTCATCCAGCAGCGGACTTGACAAAGGGGCCCGAACACGCGCGGTCGGGCACGCCGTTGCGTTTTTTCGACACGCAGACGGGCCTGAAACACAGCAGCCTGTAAAGAACGTCAGCTCACCAAAGCTTTGCTTCAAGCAAGCCTGACCCTGCCACTGATGAGACGCTGAACGTCGAAACCAGCCCGGGTTTTTGCTCGTCTTGAATCAATTCTCCTGAAATGATGCTCTCCTAGCAGACCGCACGGCTGATGGGTTGTGTAAGAATCACTTTCATTTTGCACGTGGAGAGACGGATATATACGAAGGAGACATTGTCCGCTTATTTATTTTGTTGCTAGCTAAGTGCGAGATAAGTGCTGCCCCCTACCACGTGGATGGAAATTCACTTGAAGGGATCTCGAGGGTAGTTCTGCAACGTCCGCTTCTGCGGGCCGTCTCTCTCACGTGAAAGGGATTCTAAGTATCGTGACAAGAAAAACAAAACCACCGTTTTTTGCGTTTTTCTTTTCATTGTTAAACCAATTTATCATTCATTCCCCCACACACAGTCGCGCACATTCAGATTCTGGCCGAGGCAAGGCAGCGCCAATTAAACCTGCTGCTCACTTAAGAACTGCTGCTCGTTAAAAGACTGCCCGTTAATTCCATCCACCCCGTTTGTTATGCTGAGTCGGGGGGACACCCTCCGACTCATTAGACCGTGCAACCATCCATCATTAGGCGACAACATCCAATCCTTCAAACTTCCACCCCTTCTCGGGCTGCCCAAAAGTTACGGCCGTCGCCCGGTCAACGCCGCCTGCTCGTTCGATTGTCTGCTGCTCGTTGGACTCTCTGCACGGCTACCCTCCACAGAGGATGGAAATACGATTAGACCCCCCGCATGTTAGGCCGTCGTGATCGTTAGCCTGTCGACTACCCATACTATTGGATGCCCTTTAAGGATGATGGTTAAGACTGTCCGTCCGATAAACTGGATGCTCATTAAGATTCTCTGTCCACCCGTTAGCTTGGCCACCTGCTGTTAGGCCGATGGTTAGACGGTCTAGCCATTAGGCCGTCCACCCGCTACACCGTTAGCTCGTTAAACTAATGGTTAGACCGTCCACTCATCAGACAACTCACTCGTTCCACCGACTGATTATAAAAACCATCTGCCCTTGTAGACTATTCACTCGCGAGTTCATCTACTCTTTACACGCTGGCGATCAGATCACCCGCTCGACTGGACCAACCGCTCGTTACACCATCCACCCCGCCGTTAGACTGATGGTAAGACTGTCCCCGCACCCGTCAGACTGATTTTCAGACCTCCCGCCCGCCCGCCTGCCCGCTAGTCAGTGTCCGAGTCACAGGGCCGAGGGGACGAGTCCTCCGAGGCGGCCGTGAGCTCCGTGTCCACAAACACCTCCTCCTCATCCGCCTGCACAGAGGGGACCGCCACTCCGTTGCCCTCCTCCTCCTCGTCCTCATCGTCGTTAACCGCCCCGGTGGCGACGGCGGCGATGTTGGCTGTGAAGTTGCCGGCGGTGGCGGTTGTGGTGGGGGGGGAGGGCGGGGGGAGGGGAGGGGGTGGCAGGGGGGAGAAGAGCGGCGTCGAGTCGGGGCCGGACACCTCGCTGCTGCTGCTGGTGGAGCTGGCGCGCCACACTAGGTACACACACACACACAAACGCATAGACAGAGGTCCCCCGTATAGCTTTAACAAACTGTTGGGGCATTTGCTGTTAAGCGAACAGCACCTATTAAGGCCGGCACGGCACACGACAGGGTGGGTGGCCAGCACCACGCCCGGCTGTCTTTGTCTCCCCAGTTGTGGTGTTTACACACGACACCAGGCACTCATTTGACGCTGAGTCGAGCTAGGGGAGGCCCATCACCGGTTCAGATAATCGTCACTGGTGTTGACCCCAACTCGGATCACCGGGTTCCTAGCGCAGCGCGCTAAGCACGACGGTACTGCTCTTCACACGCATGCACACACACACACGCACACGCACGGGCACACGCACGGGCACACGCATGCACGCAGACACACACGCGCATACGCACGAATGCACACACGCGCGCACACACACACCGTGGCGCGGGGACATTTGACAGCTGGGTCCCATGGAGGACACCGACGAGGTGGCCGATGTCGCGGTGGAGGAGCAGGAGGAGGAGTCCGACGCGGACGCCGCGGAGGGAGACGAGGGGGAGTTGAGGAAGACGTCGAGGGCCTCGTGGTCCGACACGTCGAGCAGCTCCACCTGCTCCAGCAGATCGACGTTCACCTCCATGGAGGAGACGCTGCCCAGCGGCTCTGCGGAGATAAAGATTCCCACCCACCACCAGATAGCCTTCAACGTGGCTGTGTGGGGCGAGCGTAGTGAGTGTGGCTGTGTGGGACGAGTGTGGTGAGCGTGGCTGTGTGGGGCGAGTGTGGCTGTGTGGTGAGCGTGGCTGTGTGGGACGAGTGTGGTGAGCGTGGCTGTGTGGGACAAGTGTGGTGAGCGTGGCTGTGTGGGACGAGTGTGGTGAGCGTGGCTGTGTGGGACAAGTGTGGTGAGCGTGGCTGTGTGGGACGAGTGTGGTGAGCGTGGCTGTGTGGGACAAGTGTGGTGAGCGTGGCTGTGTAGGATGAGTACGGTGAGCGTGGCTGTGTGGGACAAGTGTGGTGAGCGTGGCTGTGTAGGATGAGTACGGTGAGCGTGGCTGTGTGGGACGAGTGTGGTGAGCGTGGCTGTGTGGGACAAGTGTGGTGAGCGTGGCTGTGTAGGATGAGTACGGTGAGCGTGGCTGTGTGGGACAAGTGTGGTGAGCGTGGCTGTGTAGGATGAGTACGGTGAGCGTGGCTGTGTGGGACAAGTGTGGTGAGCGTGGCTGTGTAGGATGAGTACGGTGAGCGTGGCTGTGTGGGACGAGTGTGGTGAGCGTGGCTGTGTGAGGCGAGTGTGGTGAGCGTGGCTGTGTGGGACGAGTGTGGCTGTGTGGTGAGCGTGGCTGTGTGAGGCGAGCGCGGTGAGCGTGGCTGCGTGGGACGAGTGTGGTGAGCATGGCTGTGTGGGGCGAGCGTGGTGAGCGTGGCTGTGTGGGACGAGCGTGGTGAGCGTGGCTGTGTGGTGAGCGTGGCTGCGTGGGACGAGTGCCGACAGTTTCACGAAGCCCTAAAGTGCACACGGCTTGGCACAAGCGCCCGTGGCGACGTCACCGCAACTTACTGGCGAATGGCGGTTGTTGTTCGAGTTGTACTCTAGCAGCGTGCACGCGTCACTACGGGCGTGCACGCGTCACTACGGGCGTGCACGCGTCACTACGAGCGTGCACGCGTCACTACGGGCGTGCACGCGTCACTACGAGCGTGCACGCGTCACTACGAGCGTGTGCACGCGTCACTACGGGCGTGCACGCGTCACTACGAGCGTGCACGCGTCACTACGAGCGTGCACGCGTCACTACGAGCGTGCACGCGTCACTACGAGCGTGCACGCGTCACTACGGGCGTGCACGCGTCACTACGAGCGTGCACGCGTCACTACGAGCGTGCACGCGTCACTACGGGCGTGCACGCGTCACTACGAGCGTGCACGCGTCACTACGAGCGTGCACGCGTCACTACGAGCGTGCACGCGTCACTACGGGCGTGCACGCGTCACTACGAGCGTGCACGCGTCACTACGGGCGTGCACGCGTCACTACGGGCGTGCACGCGTCACTACGGGCTGTGCACGCGTCACTACGGGCGTGCACGCGTCACTACGAGCGTGCACGCGTCACTACGAGCGTGCACGCGTCACTACGGGCGTGCACGCGTCACTACGAGCGTGCACGCGTCACTACGGGCGTGCACGCGTCACTACGAGCTGTGCCCTACAGGAGCGCGAGGCGTCACGGTGCGGCGTGCGCCTCTCACGCCGCGTGCCGCCTCCCGCGCCGTGCAGCTGCAGCACGCCGGTTCGAGAGGTAGTGCTCCACGTCCTGCTGGAACGCCTCCTCAAAGAAGCGCTGGCGCTCGCGCAGACGCAGCGCGTGCGACCGCTCCGCCTCGCAGCTACGGCGCACGTTGCTCCCCCTCCAGCTCCACTGGGGGGGGGGGGGGGTGACATCATCGGAGCCAGCGTTAAACGTCGCCCGGCCGCGGGTGTTTTTTGCGATGATTTTCTATTCGCCGTCTTGCTGTAGACATTTTGAGTGACCCAGGCCACTGGGGGTGGTGGGGGGGGGGTAACTGCTTAATGTACAGCGGCAGTGCTGAGTCTATGGGGAGTGTTGAGTCTATGGTGCAGTGTTGAGTCTATGGTGCAGTGTTGAGTCTATGGTACAGTGTTGAGTCTATGGGCAGTGTTGAGTCTATGAGGAGTGTTGTGTCTATGGGCAGTGTTGAGTCTATGAGGAGTGTTGAGTCTATGGGCAGTGTTGAGTCTATGAGGAGTGTTGTGTCTACAGGCAGTGTTGAGTCTATAAGGAGTGTTGTGTCTATGGGCAGTGTTGAGTCTATGAGGAGTGTTGAGTCTATGGGCAGTGTTGAGTTTATGGGCAGTGTTGAGTCTATGAGGAGTGTTGTGTCTATGGGCAGTGTTGAGTCTATGGGCAGTGTTGAGTTTATGGGCAGTGCTGCTCAATGTAAGGGGGAAGTTTATTGCAGTGGAGGAGCGCAAGGAGGGAGAAGGATCGGGATTGGGCACAGGGAGCAGGGAGAGAGAGAAGACTGGGAATGAAGAGGACGAGAGGAGGGGTCATGGAAGGAGTGGAGATAGGCGAGGTGGGGCAAGGCCACGGAGGGATTTAAAGTGACGTAATGTGCAGTACGGCAGCAGACGGCAACCAGCCACCACCCCCCGGCCCTCTGGACTCCCCCGGTGACACGTGAGCGCGGTCGGTGTTGCCGGGGAGATCGAGCCGGTCGGAGAGCAGTGCATGATCCCCATGTTATAAAACTGACCGTGGAAGGAGCTACCACAGAACTACATCCGAGATCCCTATAAGCGACCCCATGTCTACAATAAGGGGCGGCACTTGTCTGTGCACCCTCCTGTGGGGAGATGTGCTCTGAACAGAGCGGTCATACCCATACGGGAAATTCTCTCTGCCGTGGTAAAGCCAAATGAAGTTGAAAAAGAAACAAAAATTACAACTAAAATAAAAATGTATTTCTAACTACGTGACTTTACCGCAAGAACCAAAGAGTATGGATTCCTGCAGTCGTGAAAGCTTCAAATCAAGATTGGAAAACGAACGTTAATGGGACAGCTTTTCCCGTGCAGCCATTGGTGACCGGGCTGAGACCATCAACTCGCTACACTTAAGAGAATCCGGTTTAATCGCAGGTGGCTGAAACCCGGGCTCAAACCCAGGTTCTCCGCAGGGCCGGCTCAGCGCTCTTCTCTCCGAACGATTATGAACCCCCTTCATCAAAGCACGAGAGAGAGCATGAAAGGCTAAGCCACACACATGGCTTTAATCCAGTATTCTCAGCGGTGCCGGCTCACTGTCTCTGACACGGTCATCGTTATTACCACCATTGTTTGCCCGTGGAGGCCTCACCGAGGATTCAATGATGTCTTTTAGCAGGGGTCCTACCAAGTTGTCACAGTGGGGGGGGGGGGGGGGGGTAATCTTTCACCAAGGGTTCTACCAACTTTTCACGATAGGGGGGGTGTAATCTTTCTGAAAGGGTCCCTACCAAGTTTTACAGTGATGGGGGGGGGGGGGGTAATCATTGTGGAAGGGTCCTACCAAGTTTTCACAGCAGAAGGGGGGGGGTGCAATTTTCAGAAAGGGTCCTACCAAGTTTTCACAGTGGGCGAGGAGCATTCTTATCACCGTTAGGATGTTTTAATCGATATCAGTTACATCGTATTTAGTTTAGCTCTGCCAGTAAACCGGTGAACCCGGAGGAAACCCATGCAGAACATGGAGGAGAAAAGACAAACTCACTCACACTGCAGAACAGCACGAAAACAGACTCCACACAGAGAATCGCCCGAGTCTGAAATCAAACCCAGGTGCTTCCTGCTGCGAGGCACAAGCGTCAGCGTCGCGCCACCTTGCCGCCTAGGCACTTTCTCAACCTCATTGAGGGGAAAAAAAAAAGAGACACCCAGACCCTGGGCTTGAACCCAGGTTTTCTTATGCGATTCTGGCCCAGGTGTCTTTCTGACACTGCCCTTACGAATCCACCGACATGGTATTTCGCCGTCCGACGTCCGCGACTGAAATGTAACTCTTAGGGCTCGCCACACGCGCACTCAATTATGCAATGTAAGAATCAATTTGCTTGCGATTCGTACCAAGCGACGGCTGGATGCAAAACACTGCAGCCATCCAAGATTCCGCAACCACGACCACAAACTCAAACGATCGATTGTGGACGGAGATCTCGACCCAGAATTTTGCAGCGTCCGTCCGACACTGCAACGGACGGCGGAATCGTTGCATCCCTTGAGACGATGATGATGACGACGACGACGGTGATAATGATAGATGAGAGCGGTGGCGCATCGGTCAGAACACCACGCTATTAACTCGGCGACCCGAGTCAGATTCCTGGGCCGCGGCTAACATCAGTGGTCGCGTGATATCCGAACAACGCCTGGGGAATCACCCCGACCCCTTCAGAAACCCGCATTGACCAGTGTGGCGAGGTATGGTCAAACAACCACCTGTGACCGACACGGCATGTGGACGAATACATGCAGCAGTAGACAGCCAAATCTACTCCGATATACTTTCAGCCTCCGTCTGTCTCCGTGTCTGTCCCGCCCGGGCAAAACCGTGCGAGTATGCGGTGGTGACGTCACCTACCTCCCCACGCTGACGCCACACCAACCCCTCGTGACCCACGCCTCCCCCCAAGAAACCCACCGACCCGTCCACATGCGCGGTTTACACCGCACTGCCGTACGGGCGCATCGGGGTGACTGCCCTGGGCCCCGCGCTTTGAGGGACACCCCGCACTTTGACGTCACGGTGTCATCAGGTGTACTACTTCCGGTTCAGTGTGAAGGCGTCGGGGGGGGGGGGCTATCACAGCGTAAGTTGCCCCGGGTGCTGCACCCCCCCTATGGACGGCTCTGCTATACTGGATTATAAAAAGTTTTGCTGGCTGGCTGGGTGGAGGGATGTAGGGCCATGTCCAAAGGACGTACAGGCTGCTAGTGGAAACATATCATTATAATTACAGTACGGTATTTCGTATTGCAAATGATGATCACGACCATAATCACAACTTCTGTTGATAGTGACGATGACAACACCACTGCTGCCGATGATGACAATTCTCGTTTATAATCGTGACTGCTGATGATGATATTCCTGACACCACTGCCCTTGATGATGACGACGATGACGACCACGACAACGCGACGAGAGGCGCACAGTCGACTTCGGTCAGGATTGGAACTCACGGCTTTTCAACCGGCAGCCACGAAACAGACCGGTGGACCATCAATAAGCACGAGACACGCAACACGGCACACGCAAAGATCCGCGGTGTAGCCTTGACAGACTGTTGGGGATAGTGCAGTCATAGCGAGCAGCAGCACCTATGAAGGCCGGGTACGGCCTTCGTATGGTTGGCTCGGTCACGGGACGGTTAAAGCCTCCCCTTTGCGGCGAGGAGCGTCCCCGTCGTCAGCCGGCACGAGAAAGGAAGAGAAATTAACGAGAGGCCGACCGGCTGTCAGGGCCGACGGGAGTGGGAGACGGGAGAGGATTTGACGACCTGCGGTGCCGCAAGAGACTGCGGATCGGTCGCAACGTGAAGCAGCTGACGTGCGCATTAACCGGGTGGCGCGGTGGGCCGGCACTGCCGAGGACCTGGGTTCGGATCCAGGTTTCGGGGCTCAGCCCGTGGTTAAACTGGGTTCTCGAGTGCGTGCGAGGTGAAGATGGACTCACGCAGAGAGCCGCAGATTGACACAGAGACGCGTAGGCTAACGTCGGCCGTGTGTTGCGGTTGAACCGGGTCCTCGTAGAGTGGTGACGGTTATATTCAAATTAAGCAACCATTGGAAAGATGTTCTAAATCGAACCAAACATTAAAATAATTTTCAATGGTACAGTATATTTTTCAAGTAGTGGTACCCCAAACTTTCGCAGCTTCTTAAAATCCCCTTTTCACACCACCAGCATGTGGACGCTGCCGTGCCCCCCTCGCCAGCCTGCACAGGTCGACCCCCTCCCTACCTTTCATCATGCTAAGTCCGCCTATTAAATACAAATTTTTATGCTAATTCCTTTGTCAAGGCACCTTAATTACTCTCACACAGCTTAAAGGTCGCGGTCTGAGCGTGGCTGTGTTTCACTCCAGCGCTGTCCTCGAGACAGTCTGGTCCCTTCACCTGATGAAGGCCACTTGTGTTGTGGCCAAAACGTCGTGATTTTTGTTGTTTTATTTTTTACCTACGTGACTTTACCGAATAGAACCAAAGAGTATGGATCCTTGCAGTCACGAAAGCTTCAAATCTAGAAGTGGTGATGGTCTCGGCCCGGTCACCAATTACTCGCATAGAGAACCACAGACTGACAGAGACCAGGAGACTTCCATAGGGATGGACAGACTCGCACAGACCCTGGCTGTTATTAGACCTGGGTTCTCCATTGTAGCGAGTTCATGAGTCTGGCCCTACCAATGACTCGAAGAGAGACCCATTTGTAAAGTGACACCACCGTGTATGGAAAGCCAGGAAATAAACAGAACCTGCAGGGTGCAGTTTAAAGAGGTGAGTTTTCAAGGCAGACTTAAACAGCTCGAACAACTCTGATTGTCTTATTACCAGAGGCAGAGCGCTGTTCCAAAGCCTTGGAGCTGCAATGGCAAAGCCCAATCACCCCTGACTCAACAAGCCTTTACCCAGTTTGGAATAAATTGGGTGGGGGGAAAGGCGGTGGTGAGGGGGGCGGAGGGGGGGGGTAGAAGGAAAATAAACGACCACGGCTGACTAATCCGCATTATAGCGGGGCATCTCGGGGTTTGCCGAGTCACGCTGTCGTGCATCGCTTTTGTCTGCATCTTGTCACTCGCATCACCGCCTCTCTCCACCTCTCACCGTCCTTCTTCCCTCTCTCTCTCTCTCTAACCC